AACAAGTAATAGGGAAGGGTACCTGATGCCCTCCTTTAGCATCTGTGTGTATACCTGCACACTCACTCATGCATCGCACAAACACCTCCCCAGTAAAGAAAAATTAATACACGACTGGAAAAAACATTGACTGAAAAAGACATTTGCTGATTTCATAAACACGGGGCATTTCACTCGTTTCCTGTATTTAGAACTGTAACTTTTTTTTTTTTTTTTGTAATGATGTTGGGATTCAAACCCAGGGTCTAGTGTACGCTAGCCAAGTGTTCCACCTCCCAGCCCTCACATCATTTTCTTGACGAAGAACTACTTTTTTGGTTCTCCTTCCTTTGTTTATATTTCTCTAGCCCTAGCATGTAAGGTTTTAATGACACCTTTTACTAAAGGAGCTTACATAGTATCACGGTTACTATAACTGTCCCGCAGAGCATGGAAGAGCAACAGGTAGGGCTAATAGGCTAGGACTCACTCTGGTTTCTCAGTCCCTAAGTGCTAGCTGGGATCTGATGGGTCTCTGAGTCTGCTCTCTCCTGAATCTGTGAAGTTTCTCAGTTTATCTTCTACCTCCAGCTTCTGCCCCATGTAACCTTTGTCCTTGTATTAGAATGATCTGTCTAAAATGCAGATTAGAACGTCTGTTTCAGTGGTTCTTCAACATCCAGTGTTTTCCCCATTTCCCGGTGAAGTAGTCCTCCTGATGGTGGAGGAGCCTTCTTAACTAGAGTTCATGAGAGCAAAAGCCTGATGCCGTTGGGTACCTGTGTGTGTGCAATACTAACTTCTCCCGGGGCATCTACAGTGGCACTCCTTATGTACAGTCTTGAGGAAAATTGAGAAAACAGTCACTCTAATCATTTCCTTTGTTCTGTGGTTCAGATGGGGGAGCACAGTTGGGAAAGACGGGAGGAGAGAGTGTTGTATTTCAGGAGGTCTGAGAGTATAGCTAGGGGCAACTTCAGGGGAAAACCCATCAAATTCATTGAAGTCTAGGGTTTCATCTTTAAATTTTTTATGTGAATGCTGCATTCAACTATGTAATATGTCCATGGTTTAAAGTGTTTTTAAATATTTATCAATGAATAGAACTCATTCAGTGGGAAGATTTGCCTAGGATCTGTGGAACTACAAATAACTATCCCCTTGCTTTAAGCTCTGTAGAGGGAATTTTAGATATATTTTTCAGTGTCTATAGGAAAATTGTTGAAGATCACAATTATGAGATATCAGAGTCAGGAGACCAACCCATGTATGTCCTAACTCCAAGACCCATTATTTTCTAAAGGCTCTGTTTACCATTTCTAAGTTTATCGTCATTCAAAATGTAGGATTTTTTTTCTTTTATCAAATTACTAGTGTGGTTCAGGTTATGCATAATTTCACACTTCTTGTATAGAAGATAACCAATCCTTGAGTATCTAAAAGAAAAATGAGCAGTTGGTACAGGTCATTCCATATAGCAGAGAATCTTGTCTCTTTTTGATGTCTTTGAAAAATGCACCCTCCCACCAGATGTGTTTTACCTGCATGTGTGTCCGTGCACTATGTGAATACCATGCCTTCAAAGGCCAGAAGAGAGAGTCAGATCCCCTGGAACTAGAGTTACAGATGGTTGTGTGGGTGCCGGGATTAGAACCCATGTCCTCTGGAAGAGCAGCCAGTGCTCTTAACTGCTGGGTCTTATTGCCAGCACACACACACACACACACACAAAAAAATGTATTTTGTTTGTTTTGTTTGTTTTGAAACAGTCTTTCTATGTAACCTTGCCTGTCCTGGAACTTGTTTATAGATCAGGCAGGCCCCCAACTCAGAGGCCTTGCCTCCGAAGTGCTGAGATTAAAGGCATGGGCCACCAAACCCAGGCAAAAGACCCATCTTTTTAAAAGAAATAGCAAATCTGCTCTTCTGATGTTTTGTCTTGATGGATATTGGCATTATTTTTCTCTCACTCTGACTTTTTTATATTTATTTTTTTTTTTTTTTTTTTTTTTTTGGATTTTTCAAGACAGGGCTTCTCTGTATATCCCTGGTTGTCTTTAGATTCAGAGATCTGCTTCCCGAGTGCTGGGACTAAAGGTAAGCACCACCACCGCTCAGCTTTGTCTTTTTTATTTTTAAGGATTTGTCTCACAGTCAGGTGTTGGTGGTGCATGCTTTTTAAATAGATGGCTAGATAGAAGATTTATTTTATATGTATAACTTTTTACTCTGTGTGTCTATGTATTGTGCTGTATTGTACTGCACACATGTGTGAAGGTGTCAGAGAACAACTTGATTATGTGTGTGTTTTGCCTGCATACATCTCGATGTACTTTCTGAATGTCTGGTACCCGTGGAGGTCAGAAGAAGGCATCAGATCCCCTGAAACTGGAGTTACAGATGTGAGCCATTATATAGGTGTTGAGAACCAAAACCAGGTTCTCTGCAAAAGCACTGTTTGTTGTGTAGCCCTGGCTGTCTTGGAACTATCTCTGTAGACCAAGCTGGCCTTGAACTCACAGAGATTCACCTGCCTCTTCCTCCTGAGTGCTGGGATTAAAGGTGTATGCCATCACTGCATAAATGCGGTTAGCCACAGTACCACCATCTCTCCAGCCTCCAAAGCTGGTTCTTTGCAGCATGTGGATACTGGGGACTGGATTTTTAGGTTATCATGTTTGGCAGCAACATGTTTACTCACTAAGCCATCTCACTGGCCCAGCATTCTTCTACTTTTTAACCTCCTTTGTCCTTTCCTGTTCTAGATTTTTTTTTTTACCATGATCTAGATTCACTAACCACCATGTGTTATTAAGTGTAAGTGTGCATCTTTGTATCTGATACCATTTGCTTTTAGTAAAAGACAAAAAGAGTTAAACTGGAAAGTCTGGAGTTCAGGTTAAAAACCTGTTAGGTCAAAGGAGGATCTTAATAGAGACATGGAATGGAAGTCATTTCCTAAGACAGTGGACAAGTATTCAGGAAACACCTCTGCACCCCAAAGATAGGCACAGCTGCCACACAGTGACCGTTAGGGAGGTTCAAAGTTAGAAGCAAACAGCTGGTTCTTTTAGTTCCTAGGCCGTTGCTGTTGGTGACAGGAAATCTTGTCCCCCAGGCTGCTGGCTTCCTGTTTTATTTTTACTTGCAGCAGATCAGAGTGTCCATAACAAGGAGCAGTCTGTTCCACAGGGTCCCACTGCCTCTCTGTGTGTTTGTTAGTTTGGGGGCTTTGTTTTGTTTTGGTGAAACAATATGTTGGTTTGCTTTTAAGCTTTGCAGTGTGATTAGCTTGCCCTAAGCATTTTGTATTCGCAAGCAACTGTCTGATGATGAACTGGTGTTTTAGGATTTGATGTGAGTAAACCTGATTCTTCCTCTTCTTCTTTCTCCTTCTTCTCCTCTTCTTCTTCTTCTTCTTCTTCTTCTTCTTCTTCTTCTTCTTCTTCTTAGGAATTTATAGTGAGGAGTTTCTGTAGTTATCTCTGTGCGTTTTCATTTGACATGAATTTGCCATTTCCCATAGCACAAAAGCTGTTAAGACATTTTAGATTTCTTTATACTTTCCTAAGATATGAAAACAAGACCTGTCCACCTTGACTTGACTACTCCAATCATAACCACTTTCTTGAGAGCAACACCTTCTCCTAAATTAGTAACGTAGGAATGTGGTAATCTAAATCTAAAATGATAGCTCTATGTGAGTCTGAAGTGCTGGCATGGTGGGTGAAATTCCTGGGGAAAGGCTCAGCCCCTAGGATGAGAAACAGTAATGGGAAGGTTTCTGCATCTCTTCCACGCCCACACACTACAGGTCTTGGTGCAGGTGTTTAGAAATCAGTAGAGGAGCATTGGGTGGAAGAGAGGGCCAGGGAGTCTGAAAACACAGTTGGCTCAGCATCCCCTTTGACATATTGAATGTGTGAATTTTTCCTTGATTTCCCTTCATCCTGTCAATTTACAGACTATTTTTTGGTGGTATTACTAGATCCTGGCCACTAGTGTTTAGCTGTGCATTATTAACAGTCATCATCCAGGAAGACCTAGAGAAGTTGTGTACAGAGGCTTGTCCGTGGGATCACTGTTGGCAGCTGGTTTCATTGTGGAGATTATCAGATGAAGACAAGGCTGCCTTTTTTTTTTTTTTTTTTTAATTTTTCCTTGAAAAAAGGAACTCATTTAGTTCAGTATGGCCTTGGACTCTGTTTAGCTTAGAATGCCTGTGAACTTTTCATACTTATGTCACCCAAATGCTGGGGTTACAGGTGTACACAACCATGTCCAGTTTATGCCATGTTGGGGTGAGAGGGTTCAAGTCTAGGGAATGCTAGGAAAGTACCATACCAGCTAGATTTCATCCCTAGCTACAAAGGGATGTTTTTGAACCTTGTAACTGGTGGCCTGAATCTGATCTGTATTGATTATGGATACCCCAAGGATAAGATCTGTATTATCTGCGCTGTGCCTGCTATTTTCTGACCATGCCTCCTTACCTGGAGTGCTCTTATTTGTTAGAACAGTAATTGCTACTAAAGGTTTTCACTGACTCCATGACGTCACCAGTTCAGAATTTAGCAAGATTCTTTAGTAAACCTTGAAAAGAAGGTGAGCTTAAACTAGAAGGTAGGGGGATAAAGTGGTTTTTTGTTTTTTGTTGTTTTTAGTTTGGGGGGTTCTTTTCTTTTCTTTCTTTCTTTTTCTTATTTTATTTTATTTTTTTTTTTTTTTTTGATTTTTTGAGACAGGGTTTCTCGGTGTAGCTTTGGAGGCTGTCCTGGAACTAGCTTTTGTAGGCCAGGCTGGTTTTGAACTCACAGAGATCCACCTGCCTCTGACTCCCAAGTGCTGGGATTAAAGGTGTGCATCACCACTGCCCGGTTTAGGAGTAAAGATTTAAAAACAAAACAAAACAAAAAACTGTTTCAGATCAGAGCAATACCAAAAAGGACAAGAAGAATCATGTAGCCCAGTGTGCCTGGAATCTGTGGTTGAACACTGCTTTCCTGTTATTTCTTTTTTAGGTTGTTTTTCATCATTGAGAGCATTGCCTGAAGCAGGTCCACCATGCCGTTAGTAACCAGGAATATCGAGCCAAGGCACCTGTGCCGTCAGACGTTGCCTAGCGATACAAGCGAGCTGGAATGCAGGACCAACATCACCCTGGCAAATGTCATCCGACAGCTGGGCAGCCTGAGTGAGTGCCTTGGAGAGCCTGTGCTTTGCCCTCAGGGGTCGTTGGTGCTCTTTATTTAGTTTCCCTCTCCTCCCTGTTCCTATTTCTCCTCCATCTGCCTTCCCTAGGTAATGTGAAAATATATCCCCTGCTCTTCCTCAAAGGAGGCTCTGTTTTTGGTTCATCTTCTTCCACTCTACCCTCTCTTCATCTACTGCCACCCTCAGGTTCCAGCTTCCCTTCCACCTGCTTCAAAAAGAATCTGAAGGAAGGGCTGCAGCAAAAACTGCAGATGCAGTGACAGAGCAGAATTCTGTGTGTAAAATGGGAGGTTCAGAGAAGTGTCTTGGGTCAAGGAATGCTCCTGTAATTAAACGATCTGTTCCATGTAGCCTGACTTTGTTGAAGCCTCACGTGTGCCAATAGTCTATCTACCCACCACCCCACCGTGATCTTCCCAAAGGGAAGTAAAGCAAGCATGCACTCATAGAGATTCTGGCTGACGTGTCTACCCTGGTACACATTTAATTGTGCTGCAAGCCCCCAGGTCCAAGTTCAGGGTACAAATTACTTCTGCAGTCTCTGGAGTATTAGGAGTTTTGCAAGCTGTGTGAACACATAGTGACACCAATGGTAGCTGAAGCCATTCTTCTCTAGAGGAAGACAGGAGTTAGCCCAGTCTCTTTTGGAGTTGAGGGAAATCCAGATAGATATATAATTCTTTAATTGGCTAAATTAATGAGCCTGCCTTGGGTGGGGTATTTGCATGTGGCTTGGATTCCATTCTGAATCAAGCTGACGTTTGCTTGAAGCTGAGGTATACGGGAAAGGCAGATGCTTGGACTAGCTCTGCATTTGTCTAGTGCTGCCCCAGCTCCCATAAGCACCTCTGCCGAAATGCCACTTTAGTGATCTTCCTTAGCAAAGACATTTCATGTGAATTATTTCCAACACTCACGGCTCTTAGTGAAGGCAGAGAAATATCAGGAAGCCTGTATTCCCCTAGATAGTGATAGGCCCTGCCTTTAAAGTAGGAACCAGAGGAGACAGAGCTCTGTGACCAGATGATATGTGGAGTCTGAGACTCAGAGCCTGTCTCAGTTGATCCAGGGCTTAGTGACCCCAGGATGGGGCATCATGGAGACTGAACCCGATGCCAACAGCAGCAGGGCAGCTGACAGTGAAGTACATGAAAGCTGCAGAGCTGCCCTGTTTCTGCCTCATCGCCCTGAGAAGGCCAAATGTGTAGAAGTCAGCCATACACTGCTTCCTTCTCCATAGGAAAAAGAGCACCCAGCTGCTGCTGCTGCTCACTCAGCAGGAGTCCTGCCCCCTCTTGGATGTTTTTCCAGCATTGATGGAGGCTGTTGTGGTCTTTCCCACTTGTGATCAAACCACTCCTATCTTGAAGCTGATCTGAGGGGCAGGGGCAGCTTTTACCTAAGGAAACAGTAGTACATCACATTAGGGCACTAACTGACCCTTTATTCATCCAGTGAATGTGGATTGAATATATTTTATATGCTGGATGCTGTGAATACAGAAACAAGAGGAAATGGCCCTTGACTTCCAGGAGCTCATAATCTACCAAAAGAGATAGGAAGAATAAGTTTTGAGGGAACAGTAGAGAGAGAGTGAGAGGGGAACTCATATTTGTTGCCAGTTTTCAATGAGATATTGATATAATTTCATTTAATATCTTCAGATACTTCTATAAGACTAGGAAGTTGTATTCCCATTTTTCAGATGATCCTAAAGAAAAGCCAGTGAAACTCAAGGCACTCTTTTATTACTTATTTTTGTATTTACTTACCCTAAGCCTCAAACTCAGACTTATGCATGCTAAGCACATGCTCTACCACAGAGTTACATCCCCAGCCCCTAAAGTGAATATTTAAACTTACCTAAGAGTTATTTGCTTTGTCACTAATTCTATCCTTACCAATAGTGTCCTGGTTTGATTCTAAATTTTTTTTTGGTTTTTCAAGACAGTGTTTCTCTGTATTGCTTTGGAGTCTGTCCTGTAGATCAGGCAGGCCTCAAACTCATAGAGAACCACCTGCCTCTGCCTCCTGAATGCCTCCTGGGATTAAAGACGTGCGCCACCAACGCCCACCCTCCAAAATATTTTTAATTAAATTGAATCAATTAACTAACTTATTTTTTTGAGACTGGCTTCAGATTTGTGACCTGCCTGCCTCAGCTCCCATGTGCTAACATTACAGCCTCCATGTGAAGTCTCAGGTGAACTACAGCCCAAGCCTCCTTTCCTTCTGTGTCTGCTTAGATCTGTCCTCAGTGTGTCCCCATGTAGCTCTAGCTGTCTTGGAACTCACTGGGTAGCCCAGGCTGGCCTTGAGCTTCCCGAAGGCGGCAGCACCATTTCTGGCTCTAGTTTGGGATTTGTTTGTTACTGAGGCAGGGTTTCTTGTACTTTAGGCTGTCCCTTATCAAGATGTGTAGCCAAGGATACCCTTGTACTCCAGATCCTTCTACCTTCACCTCCTAAATGCCAAGACTACAAGCATACCACTGTGTCTAGCCTAGCCTGGGAATTTTTAAAAAGTTGTCATTAATTTATAAGCAAATTTCTTCCTGCTCATCTTCAGCCTCCTCCTCTTCCCCTCCTACTACCACCAAGCTGTATCCATACAAGCTCTTTTATTTTTATCTTAATTTATCTGATTTTTTTCAAGGCAGGGTTTCTCTGTGTAACTTTCTTTGTAGACCAGGCTGGCCTTGAACTCACAGCGATCCACCTGCCTCTGCCTCCCAAGTGCTGGAATTAAAGGCGTGCGCCACCACTGTACCTTTTTTATTTTGAGACAGGATCTTGCTAAATTGCCCAAACTGAACTTTACCTTCTTCTCCTAAATAACTTGGATTATAGGTGTGTGCCACTGTCCCACCTTAATAAATATTTGAAAAGTACATTTTGTTTTAAATCTCCTTTTGCTCCTTACTATGGAATAATGTAAATTCTTTGGCCTGGTGTAAACGTCTCTTCAAGTCCCATCTTCCTTTCCACTATTCTGTATTCATCTTCTCCCATTTTACAATACTCAAATAAAAGTTCCTTTAAAGTAGAGAAGGAAGGACAAGTGAGATGACTCTATAGGAAAGGTGGTTGCTGTCAAGCCCAGCAGCCCAAGTCTAGCCCCTGGAGCCCTCATGGTAGGATTATTGAACATGCTTATTACATACCTGTATTATTGCATACCTCATAATACAAATGATCTGTGTTTCTTTTACTAAATTACACTTTTGGGGGGGGGTTCGAGACAGGGTTTCTCCATGTAGCTTTGGAGCCTATCCTGGCAAGCTTCCTCTGTAGACCAGGCTGGCCTGGAACTCACAGAGACCCGCCTGCCTCTGCCTCCTGAGTGCTGGGATTAAAGGTGTGTGCCACCAACACCCGGCCCTAAGTTACATTTTACTAACAAAATGTCTTTTGTTTATTCTTTTACAATTTCATATATATAAACAGTGTATCTTGATCATATCAACCATGCCCCAGATTCTCCCTCTCATACTCCCAGGAACTCCCAACATATCCCACAGACCAAGCTGGCCTCAGACTCATAGGTATTCCCCTGTCTTTACCTCCCAGAGGCTTGGATTAGAGGCATTCGCCACCATGCCCAGCCCCAGCCAGCCCTGTTGATCAGTATTGTGTGTGACTAGGAAATTGTGCTGTATTGGAGTTTCCAGCACTGAGTAGAAGGGTGTCACTGCCTTTAGAGCACTCTGACCCTCACTCAGGTTTCAACAAGAGCAGATGTACCTTCTGAAAAATGAGCCTGACCATTTATGCTTCCACATAACATTTCACCTGAAGAATTTTGCTAAGAGGCAGTTGGGGAAACCACCTGAAAACCATTCTGAAATTTTCGGCAAAACATGGTGTTTGTTAATGAATAGCCTGATGGATACTGGGTCTGTCTAGGTAATATCTGGATAAGTGAAATTCACCTTTGGTTACTTAACTTTATTTAATTTTATTTTATGTGTATCATCGGTATTTTGCCTGTGTTTATATGGTGTGTTTATGTGTGTGCAGTGCCAATAGAGGCCAGCAGAGGACATCAGATCCTTTGGAACTGGAACTACAGAAGGTTGTTATCATCCATGTGGGTGATGGGGATTAAAGCAGGGTTTTCTAGAAGAGCAACCAGGGCTTTAATCACTGATCATCTCTCCAGCCCTTATATATTTACATAGAGGCAGCCTAATGTAGCTCTGGCTGGCCTCAAACTCACCATATAGCCCAAGGATGATCTTGAAATTTCCAATCCTCCCATCTTCACCTCCCATTTGAAGGAATGCCAGCATATACCATTATGATGCAGTGTTGGAAATCAAACTCAGGGCTCTGCATTCGAGACAAGCACTCTTCCAACAGAACTAAGTCTCTGGCTCTGACTTGATCTTATCTAAGTATAACACTTCCGTTTCCAGAAATGATGTAGTTTTTCTTTACAATTGAATAATAGAAATCATCAAATTGGGGCTGGAGAAATGGCTCAGAGGTTAAGAGCACTGACTGCTCTTCCAGGGGTCCTTGAGTTCAATTCCCAGCAACCACATGGTGGCTCACAATCATCTATAATGAGATCTGGTGCCCTCTTCTGGCATTCAGGCATACATGCAGACGGAACACTGTATACATAATAAATAAATCTTTAAAAAAGAAAGGAAGAAAGAAAGAAAGGAAGGAAGGAAGGAAGAAAAGAAACCATCAAATCATTGAATTCATTGAATTCAAATCATTGGAATTCTAGTTAAAAGTTCCTCTAAGGGGACCTGGAGAAATGGCTCAGTGTCAAGAGCACTGACTATTCTTCCAGAGGACCCAGGTTCAATTCCCAGCACCCACATCGGAACTAACAACTGTCTGTAACTCCAAGATCTGACACCCTCACACAGACACATGCAGGCAGAACACAAGTGATTATGACAGTCAGTTTAAGCCCAAGTCTTCCATTGTCCTTTACTGCTGGTGATGTCATACAGCTGGTGAGGAAGCTGTTCTTTGAGATCATTCTGAATTTGGGTGGAGGGTTCCCCTCAGCCTAGAACTTAGGGTTTTTTGTTGTTGTTTTGTTTTTTTCCAAGACAGGGTCTCTCTACAGAGTCCTGGCTGTCCTGGAACTAGTACTGCAAACCAGGCTGGCCTCCAACTCACAGACATTCACCTGCCTCTGCCTCCCGGGTGCTGGGATTAAAGGTGTGTGCCACTACCACCTGGTGAATTTAGGATATTTAATAGTTGTACTTTGGTTTGGTTTTGTGACAAGGTATTGCTGTTTCCTGGGCTTCACTAGAACTCATGGGCTCTTACCACCTCAGCCTTGCAGCCTCCTGAGTGGCTCAGGGAGGACTCCATGGCTGGTTTAGATAGGTCAACTCTTTTTTTTTTTTTTTTTTTAATAATCTTTTGTTTTTTAAGATTTATTTATTTATTTATTATGTATACAGTGTTCTGCCTGCATGTATCCCTGCAGTCCAGAAGAGGGCACAAGACTACATTACAGATGGTTGTGAGCCACCATGTGGTTGCTGGGAATTGAACTCAGGACCTCTGGAAAAATGGGCCTGAGCCATCTCTCGAGCCCAATAGGTGAACTCTTAAAAATTGTCTCTGTGGCTGAGCAATATAAGAAAGAAGTTCATTGTAACAGTTTATTTAATTTTTCTAGTAATTTGGTGAGGAGGATGCAGTCACAGTCCCCAGTTTACAGGTGAGACCAAATTTGAGAGATTGTGTCTTCCTGAAGCATACACAGGGCTGGAGAAATGGCGTGGCTGTTAGGAGTATTTGTTATATCCAGATCTGCTGGTGCATTCCTTTAATCCCAGTGCCCCCAAAGCAGATGGGTCTTTGTGAGTTTGAGGCCAGCCAAGGATACATAGTGAGACCCTATTTCAAAAAAAGCAAAAGAGTAAACAAAATAATACTTGCAGTCCCCCCCTCCAGACAGGATTTATCTGTGAAGCTGTGCTGGAACTTGCTCTATAGACTAGGCTGTGCACCCACGTAGTGGCTCACAACCTCCTGTAGCTCCGGTTCCAAGGGATCTGGCACCCTGACCTGGCTTCTGTGGGCACCCACACGCACGTGGACGTGCTAACATGCAGAGGCGCATACACAGGAATGAAGATAAATATTAAAGAAGTGCTCTGCCATGACAGAAATAGCCGAGGCATAGGCCCAGTATGGTGGTGTGTACCAGTAATCTCGGCACTGAGGAAGAAAAGGATGAGATCTTGGCAAGTTTGAGGCCAGTCTGGTCTACTAACTTAATTTGAAACCAGCCAGGGGACCACAGTGCCACTGTCTAAAGATAAAAATCTGAGACATAACAATCCAGGACTCCTGACTGAGGCCCACTACTCTTTCCATTTCCCATAGCGTGATTCTGAATCTGCCCAGGGCCTGACCTGATGTTACAGTAGGAAAGCCTTCAACCTGCCTACCTTATTCACTCTTTAAAAATGGGAGTGGTGGTGGCGCACTCCTTTAATCTGAGCACTCAAGAGGTAGAGGCAGGCAGATCTCTGTGAGTTCCAGACTAGCCTGGTCTACAGAGCGAGTACCAGGATAGGCTCCAGAGCTACACAGAGAAACCCTGTCGCAAACAATAAATAAATAAATAAATATTTTTAAAAAAGAAATTACATAGTAGAATTTCAAACCAAGATAGTCTGTCTCTATGGGGCCTGAATTTATCCTTTTCCGACACAGAGAGGCAGAGCTTCTAATGGTGGAAAGGCCACTTTATGTTCTCTAACTCAGGCTTTCAAAGTTCTGGTCTACGCAGCAAGTTCTGGGCCAGCCAGGGCTACATAGTGAGACCCTGTCTCGAAGAGAGAAAAAACAAAGTTATCAATTTTGTATATTGAGGTCCTTTTAGAGATTTTATCTGATGCCAAACTGTTACCATCCCCCTCTACTAAGGAACAGAAAATATGAGCGTGTTTTTTTCTTTTCTGCCAGAGCAGTTGAATTTTTGCTTTTGTTTTGTTTTGAGACAGGGTCTCACTATGTAGCCCCATCTAGCCTTGAACTAACAGCAATCCTCCTTGGCCTCTCAAGCACTCAGATTACAGGTATAATAAGCCACTATTGATGTGTATTTTTAAGGATGGTCTATTTTCCATGCATAATGTTGTATACCTCTTTGCTTTTTTTTTTTCCAAATGCAATTTTCATACTTGGTGGAGCAGGAACACTGCCACACCAAAAACAGAGATCAAATAGGATCCTCTTCATGTAGAGCAGAAATGCAGCTTGTTGGCCATTTTGAGTCCTTTGAGCTCAGGAATTCTCCTTCCTTGTTCTGTATGGGACCATGTAGTATGCAGGGTTAAAAACTCTTTATTGACTTAAATTTACCACTAGTTAGTTCACAGTACACTTGTTCTCTGGGTTCCACTGAAAAGATTAGCTGTAGTTCACCTTGAGGGTGTGGTTTTGGCCTTTCAGACTGGGTTAGCCTAATTCCCCTTCAAAGAAGGGGAAGCTTTTTTAAAAAAAATGAGAACTTACTTTACATAGGTCTCAAAATATCTTTAGGTTGGGCAGTCACTTGCATGTGCCTTTGCTTTGTGAGTAAAGGTCTGGGATGATAATTTATCCATTCCTACCTCTATCCATCCCTGGTGAGAAAGAAAGTACCTTGTGGCTCAGAATAATGATGCGGAGGTAGTGCCAAATTGCTGCTTCTCTGGCTGCAAATTCTCCTTGCATTCAGGGTTGAAAGTACAAAACTCTTTTCTTGTTTTAAAAAGCAAGACATTGTGGGAAAAGACCAGTGGTATGTTGTTTTTTAGGGAGGTCTTGAACGCTTCAGCTTTTCACTGGTTCCCTGGGGTGTAGATTTGAAGGATTGTAACCTAGAGCAAAGACTTTGAAAGTTGTGGGTTAGAGGACGTAAGGTGACCTTTGCACCCTTAGAAGCAGCTCTGCATCTGTGTGGGGTGCGGATAAGTTCAGGCTCCTTAGAGATACCCTCATCTTGGTTTTCAGTGGACTTTTGAAATTCTACTGAGGAAGTAATTTCTTATCTAGTGTATTAATCATGGATGTCTGGTAGCTTCTCTTACTCTCAGTCTGCTCTCCACAGCCATTTTATAAGGCACTTTACAGAATAGCAGGTGCTAAGAGCCATGGACAAATGTTTGCATATACTGTCTGCTCTTCCAGGACTAATTTGTTGACATTACACCTTTTGATTTTGTTCAACCTGCTTTGAATTTCGTGTTTGTTCAGAATTTGTCAAGAAGGTTCTATTAGTATGGACTATATACACACAGACTGCCCAGGCTATGTCGAATAGCTTTCTCCAAGGGCATGCATGTGTGTGTGTGTGTGTTTGGTGGACGATACACTCTTTAGTCACTGGGTTTGTGTTTCTGTCATTCCTATGCACTAATGACTTGGTCTCTTTGCTCTTTCTAGGCAAATATGCAGAGGACATTTTCGGAGAGATTTGTACTCAGGCAAGTGCCTTTGCCTCCCGGGTAAACTCCCTTGCCGAGCGGGTTGACCGAGTACAAGTTAAAGTTACTCAGCTGGATCCCAAGGAAGAAGAAGGTAAAGGGGCTGAGCCAGAGCTGCAGGCTTTACTGAGCAGTTTCTGAGAATTCTGCCCCAGTTTGTTAAAAAGCAAGGGGAGAAACCAGAGAGACTGGTGCAGTTATTCTTTGAAGCGATGTAAACCTAGGTGGTGTAAAGAAACCTTTTTAGTTCTGCCACACCCCCACAGTCCCTTTCTCCCACTCCTCAGCTCCCTTGTTCTCAAATCTTTCCCTCAATACTGTTTTGCTACCATAAAAGTACGTGGAAGATTCATTTCACCTAAAGCGAGGCCTGTGAGATCTGGCCACATAGTGAACCTTTGTGTTGCTTCATTCTGTTCAGTCATGAAATGGCTGGGCTGCTGACAGCCTGTGGGGCTTCCCCAGAGGGGGAGGGAAAAAAAAAAAAAACCTGCCTGCAGATGGCCGAAGCCAAGAAACACAGCAGCTGAGGCCTCACCAACTAATGTGACTCAGGGTTTGCTCAAATAGCCTGTCGTCCATTTTCTAACGCCTTCCATCTTCTCTTAGTGTCACTACAAGGAATCAACACTCGAAAGGCCTTCAGAAGCTCTACCATCCAAGACCAGAAGCTTTTTGACAGAAATTCTCTCCCAGTACCTGTCTTAGAAACCTATAACAGCTGTGACGCTCCCCCTCCACTCAACAATCTAAGTCCTTACAGGTAACAGCTCTCCCTTGGGGGTGTGTGTATGGGGGTGTGTGATTAAAAACACTACATTGTCTATAGTATCTAAACTATATTGAGTTTACTGTCTACCCCAGAGGGACCTATGGCAACAAAGACAGTTCATTCTTGTTTGGAATCTGAAAGAGACCATCTGCATCTACTATATATTGAGTTTGCTGTAACATAGCATCCTGCAGAGTTTACTTTGGTGAAAGCAAGTCCATCTGGATTCCATCCAAGGAATTTAGTTAATACAGAAGCAAAAGGACTTGTTAGCAGGCAGTCCTGCAGCATGGATTCCCAAGGGCTGCATTCTAGCAGGGCTTCCACTTACTGGGAAAACTCTAGATTCCCAGATGTTTGGGCAAGTTAGTGGGACCAGTGTTAGATGGCTGCTCTAGACTCAGAGGGGGCCTTCCAGAGCATGGGGAGTAATTGGCATCCTTCCATGTGAGTGTCAGTCACTTCATTTTGAGCACCCTTTGGATATTTTCTTCTGCAAGGACCTTTCTCGCTGTAGTTAGACATGGAAAAGGAAGATAACCTTACAGACGACTTAGAGTCCTCCCCTCTGGTGGTTTGGTAATGTTGTCATCATGCACAGACAAACTGAACAGAAGTAGAAAGTGATTATTTATTTTGCTTGTATCTATAAATAACTTTGGAACAGGTAAAAAGTCATTACAAGAAGCTGGAGGTGGATGCTGTCTATCAGATGGGTACACTACCAAGCAGTGCCTCTGTGTGTGTGCCCTGTAAATGCAAAGACACTGGCCTATTAGCCTCAGATAGGAACTTGGAATCTTTTCACACAGATAGAGAAGAGGCTCAGAGTATCTGCCCTTTGTTACTAGTGTTTGAAGTCATGCTTGGCCCCTGTGGCTGTCATGCGTTAGTCTGATTGAGTTTGGATAGAGCTGTATGACAGAAAGGGCAGGCATACCTCATAATACTGAAAGGGATAAGATACAGCATTTATGGGCTGGAGAGATGGCTCAGAGGTTAAGAGCACCGACTGCTCTTCCAGAGGTCCTGAGTTCAATTCCCAGCAACCACATGGTGGCTCACAACCATCCGTTATGAAATCTGGTGCCCTCTTCTGGTGTGCAGATATACATGGAAGCAGAATGTTGTATACATAATAAATAAATAAAATCTTAAAAAAAAAAAAAAGATACAGCATTTATATGGTGGGACAGGATAAGCAAATAATATTGAGATATTTCACCTTTCTAGAAATGTTATTTTATATTTTAGACACAAAATACCAGAACTAGTATCTCCTCTCAGTTATCTAGACTTGGCCTAAGTGGTATCTCTAACTCAGAGCAAGATTTAGTTAATATAGAAATTATTAGTGTCAGAGCCTGGAGAGATATTTCAGCAATTAAGAAACACTTGCTGCTCTTGCAGAAGACCCAAGTTCAGTTTCCAGCACTCACAACTGCCTGTAACTTTAGCTTCAGGGATCTGACACACCCTTCTGGCTTTTGTGGGCACCTACACACATGTGCATGCATACACAGAGACACATATATACACAAATGAAAATAAATGTAAGACTTTCTTTTCTTTCTTTCTCTTTTTTTTTTTTTTGGTTTTTCGAGACAGGGTTTCTCTGTGTAGCTTTGGAGTCTGTCCTGGCACTGGCTCTGGAGACCAGGCTGGCCTTGAACTCACAGAGATCTGCCTGCCTCTGCCTCCCGAGTGCTGGGATTAAAGGCCTGCGCCAGCAACGCCCGGCTAATCTAAGGCATTTTTAAAAGAAAATATTAGTGTTTGATTTAGAAGTATATTCTGTGTGTTTTGAAAGACAAGTAGAATTTCTTTTCAGAATTAGGATTTGTTTGCATTTATTTATTTATTTTTGAGAGGTAGCTTCTCTCCATATAGTTCTGGCTGTCCTGGAACTTGTTATGTACACCAGGCTGGCCTCAGACTCGGCCTTTTACTTTTTTTTTTTTTTTTTTTTAAACATGTATGGTTCCCTTTGTGACAGGTCCTCTGTACATAGTCTAGACTGGACTTGAACTGATGCTTCTCTCCCTGCCTCCCGAGTGCTGGGGTTATAGACATGCATCACCAGTCCTGGCTTGCAGTTTTGTTGTTGGTATTTTTTGTTTGTTTGTTTGTTTTGTTTTTTTGAAGACTCTGTGTAGCCCTGGCTGTCCAGAACTCACTCTGTAGTCCAGGCTGGCTTCAAATTCAGAGATCCACCTGCCTCTACCTCCCTATAGACCTTGTGGTTTTAAAAGAGTTGGTCATTGTGTTCAATGGGTCCCCTTGGATTGGTATTGGACACTGAGCTGTTCCAAAAGGGAGCAAGAAGTAGCGGTGTGCTTGGTTCCTTATCTGAGTATAGAAGAGCAGCTGTACACAGAAACACACGAGTACACAGGTTTCAGATAGGAGGGAAAGACCTCAGTGCTTCCTGCTGAGTCCTGGGGAACAGGCAGGAAGGGGAACCAGTGGTGGAAATCTCCTTAGAGGTGCACAGTATCCAGATCTCTTTAGGGAGCTGTCTGTGACCCTGCAGATGATTAGAAACAATCAGAATTCCTGCTGATCTAGCCTGTTCTTGCCCTGACCATGCAAATTCCTGTAGGGGAATTGAAGGTATGGCAGAGGTTTGTTTGGGGCCATTATGGGAGAGGAAATATGCGATCGATTTGAATGACTTCCTGAATCCTTAGTGTAAAAACTGCTAACTGGTTGGTGTTTGGAATATTGGATTTGGTTGGGAGCTCATCTGTCTACTGACAGCTACTTGTCTTCATTTCTATCCCAGGGATGATGGAAAAGAGGCACTCAAATTCTACACCAACCCTTCATACTTCTTTGATCTTTGGAAGGAGAAGATGCTGCAGGACACGAAGGATATCATGAAAGAGAAGAGAAAGCACAGGGTGAGGGGAAGGGGCCTCTGTTCTACACATCAGTAGGCACGATTGTGGAGTGGGGATAAAAAGGAAGCCAGTCTTATGTGAAGTAATTCCAAGTGGCTGCTTGCTTGGATGCCAGGTAAAATTCTTTAAAAAAAAAAAAAAAAAAAAAGAATGTGTCCATACCAAATACCACCAAGATGAGAAAGTAAAAATCACACCAAAAATGTGCTTGTTCCCCTGGCACTATTAACAATTGAGTATATTTGAGCTGAGTTTTAGAAATTGACTTTTCTATTCACCATTTATTTTTCTTGCAATTTGCACCTGACTCTGCTGGACACTCTGCTAGCCTGGTCCCATCCCTGCCGGTTTTGCAGCTCATTTCTCAGAGACAAGCACCAGGTTCTGCAATATTTGGTTTACAACAGAAGGTTAACCCCTTCACTACTGGGTGGGTGGGGCCAGGGGCTGCCTGGTTTGTAGAGATGCCTCTCTCTTTAGGCTCCTGGTGCTGTGTGACCTGCCAGCTTTGACCTCACAATCCCATTAGCATGGCTGTCAGCAGGCCCAAGAGAGTGCCACAGGCTAGTGCAGCTGCATGAGCTGGAAAATCCTTCATTGGTTTTTGTTTTATTTTGTTTTTTAACTGTTTCCTTTATCTGCCCCAGATCTCTAGAGCTGCCAGTCCTCATCCCCTGACTGACCTTTGTGGCACAGCAAATAACAAATAAGTGTTTACTAACTTCCTAACAATTAAAATGCTTAAAGATGTGAAACAGTTACCCAGAAAGGTAGCTGAGGCTCCTTCTTGCTAGAGGTGCTTGTGTGAGAGACTGAGCAAATGCTTTGCCCGGGAGGTGGTTTGAATTGAATGGCCTCTAGGTCACCGCAAACCTGGTAGTTCTGTAAATTCTGCTGTTATCATGTGTTGTCTAGGCAAATCATCTCATGAGTGTGTGTCCATGAAGAATTTTAATGAAGCACTTGGGAAAATGTTTTACAAAGGCTTTTCTGTTCCCTTTCATTATAGAAAGAAAAGAAAGATAATCCGAATAGAGGGAATGTAAACCCACGTAAAATCAAGACGCGTAAGGAAGAGTGGGAGAAAATGAAGATGGGGCAAGAATTCGTAGAGTCCAAAGAAAAGCTGGGGCCTTCTGGGTAGGTGACGTTTTATAGCATTCTTTGAAGGGGTTGGAACCTCAGGACAATAGGCTCTGGAGTGATACCTTCCACACCCTCTGAAATCTAGCTGTAGGGTTTATTTAGGTCAATACAACTGTTAGTCCACTACAGTTTAAGTGCATCCATCTGGTGATTAAAAATTTTAAATAAGTCAAGAGACTCAGTAGCAGTTTCAGTGAGATGACTGGAGTGGTCTGGAAGGGAAGGCGCATGGCTTCCAGTGCTGTTCCTCTGCCAGAATTCAGTATACCTAAGGTCTCAGAGGAAAGACGGAAAGAGCAAGGAAAATGGTCTTGGGAGGCCTTTGCCTCCCAAGTGCACAAGAAGGTTGTACTGAAGGGCTGAGCCAGGGAGGAGGGGAGGGTGGGCAGCACGCAAGCCTTGTACTTTACCAGAACAAATTTTCAGCCAGTCTTTGTCAGTCTTGGGAGAGAGGTTAGTTAGCCAAAGGGACTGAATGTAGACCTCAGAGTAAGTGTGGGAAAGGCTGCTGGACCACTGTGGAGGCTGTATATCTCTGTGGGAGTGGGGGATGTCATCTTGACCCATTTCCCAGGACCAAATCACACTGGAGGTTAAAGGGGGAGAATGGATTTAAAGCTTGGTTTGATGCTTATCCTGATGTCTGACCCCTGTGACATTCAAAGCCAAGTCACCATGACTGCTTGGCATGAGTGTCACCCTGGCTTTTCCTCTAAAGTCATTGCATTCTGGCTGTCAAAGAACCATGCCAGCCCATACTGGGTGTTGACGAGTGATAAAAGGAAAGAGTTGAGTTGTTCTTACTTTTAGGAATAACTCTACCATGAAAATCTTGACTTTTAAAAATCTTGACACTTGTGACACTTGTTCTTCCTGGATTCAGAGGCTTGTTTTATAAGCATGATGAAGACAGAGAGAGGAGAAAATGACCCTTCTACAGAGAAACCGGTACTAAGGGTGCCTTCACTGATCTCACTACCCAGTAAGGGGCCATTTTGTTCCACAGACCCATCCCATTCTGATAGGCACACGGCATAGGATTAGTGACTCTGAGGCCATAATGCCAGCTGTCAAAAATGTATGTCTCTCAACCTGGTCAGCAGAGCTAGTTCCAAGACAGCCAAGGATATACAAAGAAATGCATGTCTTATTTTGAACTTGGGTAGTGAAGATGAGGAGTGGTACCCTGCCCCTCATTTTCCTATTTTCCAGGAGGTTTAGAATTGGCTGTGTAGCTGGTCTATAGGAGCATGCTTCTGGGTGAAGCTGTCAAAGAGATGTGCCAGGTTTTGGGGGTTTCTCACAGGAGCGCATCATCTGACTTGATTACTTGCCTACAACTCTGTGCCTGGGACCTGCTTGATGAGCTCTGGAGAACCCCGCAGTGGTATAAAGAGGAAGAGAAGGCAGAGCAGGCCAGCTTTGCTAGCTGGTGCCCAGTGTACTTATGCTAATATGTAGACTTACTGCTTGGTGTGTTGATGCTTGTATGAAGTTTTGATGTTCATCCAGAGTCAATTCTCCCAGGGCCCAGTTCTCAGAGGAATGGGTTTTCATGCAACTAGCTCTAGCACCCTGCTTTAAGCAGCTGCTGTGATAGAGGACATGGCAGAGAAGCCACACTTACTACCACATGGAAGCCTACATTCATCTTTGGCTTGATTTTGCAATCAAATGCATCCTTAGCCTTTGAACACTCCAGGGATTTGCCTACCTCAAAATCAGGCTGTATGCTAGTCACATGTTTGCAACTAACCTGTGGGAATTGGCTTCATTCTTTGCTGTAAGGTTTTGGTATTCAGGTTTAGTTGCACCTAATATTTGGGAGAGCATTTAAAAGAACTGCTGGGTTTGATTTTAAACAGACAGGCAGGCACACACTCGAGTGCACACACAAACACACATACACACACAGTCTCACTGTGTGACCCTGACTAGCATGGAACTTGGTATGTATACCACATAGTCATGGAGATCACCTGTCTTTGAAGGCACCTGCTACCATACCTAGCCTAAAGTATAATTTTGGTGTAATGTGGGGAATCTCCTTGTTTTGTATTGATGTGGTATCTTTTAGTAAGAAAAGAGAGAGCCATTCAAGCTCTGTGTGTTTCTACATGTTTTGGATGCTTTGGATGAAAATGGACTCTCTAAATGACCACTTTGGGTATGTTATCAGATTCTCATCCGCTTTGGTGTACCAGAATGGCAGCATTGGCTCTGTTGAGAACGTGGATGCAGGCAGCTACCCACCACCACCACAGTCAGACTCCACCTCCTCACCTTCTCCTTCCTTCTCTGAAGACAACTTGCCTCCCCCACCAGCAGAATTCAGGTAAATGGCAGAACCTCTCCATCCATCCTGGGTAGTAAAGCACTCAAGAACAAAGTAAGAGTTCAAAATCTAGATCAGGACCACTAAAATGACTTCAGGCAAGAGTGTGTAGATAACAGGAATAACATCTATCTTGTGTTGGCAGTGTTGTTACTCCCGTGTTACAGGTGAGTGATCTATTGAGCACACAAAGGTCAGTGAACTGACCTAAGGTGAGCATCAGCTTTCATGAACTAGTAGATGGCCATCTCCTGCTGCTCAGCTCACTTCTCTGTCCCGTTTATCCCTCAGAAAGCATGAGCTGAGTGTAGTGATTGACACAAGTAATCCCAGCGAAGTTTAAGGCTAGCCTGGACTACATGCACGTTCTAGGCCATCAGCACTACATAGCAGCGGGGAGGGGAAACAAGACTTCCAGTCTGTCCCTTTAGATGTTTTTTTGTTGTTGTCTTTGGCTGATGTGTACAAAGGCTTGTCCATGATGGCTGGATATCCCTATTGGCTGGATATGTTGAAGGACTCAGGTGGAGACCTAAAGTAGTGCTGTCCTCTTCCTCTCTCCCATTCTCAGCCCTTCAAATCACTACATCCAAATCTTCTCCTCCAAATCACAATTTTTTTGTTGTTGTAGTTTTGGTTTTTAGAGACAGGGTTTCTCTGTGTAGCCTTGGCTGTTCTGGTACTCCTTCCTTCTATAGACTAGGCTGACCTCAAACTCACAGAGATCTGACTGCCTCAGCCTCCCGAGTGCTGGGATTAAAGGCACAAGCCACCACCACCCGGCCCCAAATCGATTCTTGCTGATGCCCTGTCAAGATGTAGCTGAGTTTTGAAGGTCTGTGGAAATTTCCCAGATGGGTGTTTCTTTATTTTTGGTTTTGGTTTTTAAGACAGGTTTTCTGTATGTGTCCCTAGCTCTCCTGGGACTCTCTGTGTAGACCAAGCTAGCCCCAAACTCAAATAGATCCTCCTGCCTCTGTCTCTGGATGCTGGTATTAAAGGCGTGCACCAGCATTCCTGGTAGGGTGCTTTTCTAAGCAGTAGCTCTTAGTGCAGGGCAGGTGAAAGTTACAGGAAGAAAACCTTTGTCTTCGAAGTGGTGTGAGACCTTGAAGTTGCAGCCTCTTAGAGATCTGATCTGTGAAGTGAGCTTTCATCCTCTTTCAAACTTGAGCCAGAGTTATCTGGGAGCTGAGTAAGGTGGCGCATGCCTTTAATCCCAGCACTCAGGAGGCAGAGGCAGGCAGATCTCTGTGAGTTCAAGGCCAGCCAGAGATACATAGTGAGATCCTGTCTCAAATAAAGCCAGTCATGGTGACTCAGGCCATAATTTTAGCAGGTGGTTGGCCAAGACAGGAGATTGTCATGTGTTCTAGGCCAGCCTAGACTACTTAAGCTCCTGTTTCCTTTTGGCCAACTCCAAGTAGATTTTTGCCCCCACCAAATCCAATGATTATTCAGAGCCTAAGAAACAGAACCCACTAGACAGATAGGGCTTGAATTTTTTTGTTTATTTGTTTGGGGTTTTTTGTTGTTGTGTTGTTGTTGTTGTTGTTGTTGTTGTTGTTGTTGTTGTTGTTGTTGTTTTTGTTCTTGTAGACAAGGTTTCTCACTCTGCAGACCGGGCTGGCCTCGAACTCAGGGATACTCTGCCTCCCAAGTGCTTGGATTAAAGATGTGCACTCCCACCACCTGGCTTTGAATTTTTGTTCTAGCTCTTCTCTGTATGTATTTAGATCTAGCTCTAGGCTTAAAATGACAGCTACCCATGGGCCACTCTCTCCAAGAGGGTTCAGGAAGGAGCTGTCTCCTGGAAAGCTAAGGTTAAAGGGACCTAAGAGATGTCTCTGCAGCCTTGCCTGCCAGAGCAACCCTCAGATATTTTCTTCATTTTCTGGCTGGACCCCTCCTGTGCTGGGAAGTTCTTTCCCCACAGTGCTGCTCATTTCCATCTGTCGGAGCCACAGTGAAATGAGAGTCAACTAAGAAGGGCCTGAGCTTATAGATAAGCCTGCCTCTGGGCAAGTTGGCATTATGAAAATGATGGTGACTCTAGTCTCCTTGGCCTTTTAGCTACCCTGCAGACAACCAAAGAGCATCTGTCTTGGCTGGACCCAAAAGAACCAGTGTGGTCAGCCCAAGCCATCCGCCTCCAGCTCCTCCTCTGGGCTCTCCACCAGGCCCCAAACCTGGCTTTGCCCCACCGCCTGCCCCCCCACCTCCACCTCCAATGGGCATGCCGCCTCCACTACCACCTGTAGGATTTGGGTCTCCTGGGACCCCTCCCCCACCATCACCTCCATCTTTTCCCCCTCACCCCACCTCCTTCTGATGCCACCAAGCCCAAGTCCTCGTTGCCGGCTGTGAGTGATGCACGGAGTGACCTGCTTTCTGCCATCCGCCAAGGTAAGCCCCAGTGGGGTTGAGGACACGCACCCTTTCTGAAGCTGGGATGGATCTTCACCCTTTCTGGGGAACAGCTTTCCTGGATAACTGAGAGATTAGGACCTCAGAAGTAGGGGTGGGGCTTCCCTAAGGATACTGAGATTGAGAGTTCTTTGTACATTTGTTAAACGAGAATTATTTTTAGGCTGGGATCTTGAAATTCCCTGAAATGAGCATGTTGTGTATGTTTACATATATACTTTTTCTTGGGGAAAGATCCCCAGAAGAAATTGAATCACTGTCCCAGTGGCAACTTTTCAGCCGGACTTGTTGCAACTGTCTTCTCTACTCTCCCATCTCCCCTTCCCCTCTCTCCCAGCCATCAACTCCCCCTCCTCTACCAACTCACTCTCTGTCTGTCTGTCTGTCTGTCTGTCTGTCTGTCTGCTGTCTGTCTCTGTCTCTGTCTCTCTCTCATTGGTCCCAAGGGTTTGGTGTAGTTTGTCCTGTTGGTGACCTTCTGAGCCCTACAGTAGCTATGGACTTTGAGCAGTCTGAGCGATTGCCTGACGAGGTGTGGTGGTAGTCCACCTCCAGAAGCCTGGTGAGAAAAGGGCCACAGAGATGCCCATAACACAGGGATGTGGATTCCATAAGATCTGACTTTCCTTCCTTCCGCAAGAGTCCTTTCTGTCCTTTACAACCCTGTCCTCGTCATCAGCTATTACTCATACTCATTCTTGAGGACTCCTAGGCTAAGGCTGTGCTTCTCAACTCTGCTCCCTCTCCCATCAGGGTTTCAGCTTCGAAGGGTTGAAGAGCAACGGGAGCAAGAGAAGCGTGATGTAGTGGGCAATGATGTGGCCACCATCCTGTCACGTCGAATTGCTGTTGAGTACAGCGACTCCGAAGATGATTCCTCTGAATTTGATGAGGACGACTGGTCGGATTAACTTCTGCCTGCTGCCCACATTCCTTTTCCTGTCCTTCCCACAGACCTTCCTTGATACCAACTGTAACAGTCTCATGGGGGGAAGAAAGGGAGGACAGGTGATTGCAAGGGCCAAAGCCTTCATGGAGCAACCAAAGATCTAGCCACGTCTTCCTCCAAATTACCTTGTACTTCTCTCCCTTTCCCTGGCTGTGGACTCTTGAGAGTCCATAGCTGAGCTGATCCCTCTTCCCCTCAAGTGACTGTTAACTATTGAAAGGAAGGAAAAACCAACCCTACAGCAGACCCCTTTGGTTGGGTTTCAACTGGAGATAGTGCCTTCCCCTAATAATCCTTTTAACACATGGCCTTCCTCAAAACCCTTGCTTCAGCTACTTCAAATAATGCTATCTGTCTCCTGACCTTAAAGCAATGGGCACGGCATGTGTGGACAAAACTGGCCCTTTTTCTATACCCTGAGAGTATAGGGTAGGCCAAGTGCCCTGGCAACCAGATTGCCACACCTCTGATCCACACTCGCCCTCTGCAGCAGGAAAGGCTGCTTCTGTTCAGCCCTGTCTGGATGTCTTTGTTCCAGAAGGCATTAGGCCCCTAAAGAATGTCTCACTCCTTTGCCTAGAAGTGATGCAGGGGCTGTTGCCTCCCTCCCATGCTCCCTCTTTGTGAGTGTGGTGTTCAGGTGTCCTTTGTATGTCCCTCCCTCACTCCATGTGCCTTTAGACTGCACAGCCCAGATTTAACCTCTGATATTCATGACCAAACTAGCCCTGACATACAGGGACCTGGGCCTCTGTTAACTTGTCAGGAGCAAAACTTGAAGGCGTGGCACGGCAGGACTGGAAGAGAATGGAATACCTTGGGTCCTGCACTTTCAGGATGCTAAGGCCAAGATGAGAAGTGACTCTCTCAAGGTCACACAGATAGTGATAGAGCAAGAGCCCAGGCTTCCTGTTTCCAAGTCACCTGTGTTTCCTGGGACCAAATAATGAGCACCTGCTGGAGTCTGGGCAAAGCAGCCCTGGCTCTGTTCTACCCCAGACCTCCCGAATGCAGGGGTCTCATTTGGAGGGCTAGCATTCTGCCAGCCCTGCTAGTACAGCTTTGACACTCACAGCCTGTCTTGTAACCGTTTATTTCCCCTTTCTATCTCCAGCCAGTCGTGTGGCATGGGAGCTGTGCTGGGGAACCAGAGTAGAGAGGAGGACTGAGGCAGCCAGCCTTGGCAGGTGCAGTTTTCAGTTCACTGCAGCTCCCTCCCCCTTTTGTTCCCCCAGTTTAAGCATAGGTTCTGCCAGCTGTAGAAACTTCAGTCCCTCAGGCTGGCAGCCGCAGCAGGTACCTGCCTGGGGGGGCCTGGCAGCCATGAAGAAGGCTGAAAGGCAGGAGAACATGGGGTCTTCTTCCTGGATCCCTGAGTCACTGAGCATGGTGATGTAGACCCCTTTACCCTCCCTTCCCAGAACTAGTACACAGGTGCTATTATTCAGGAAAAAAAAACTGGTCAGCTCTGGCCAACAGCAAGGTTTCTTCTCTCTGTCCAACTATTGTGTGGCCTCTTGTGCTGAAATCGGCTTCTCTGGCTTCAGAGCCTGAAACAAAGAGAAACAGGATCTGTCTCTACCCAGCACAGCACATGGTTGTAGTAATTGCCAAAGCCCTCATAAAGCCTCCGGCTTGAGGAGAATGCAGTCATGGGCACTGCTGCCGCACTGGCTCAGCACCTCCCCTCTGCCTCCTTTCTTGAACTGGAGGTAGTGAGCTCGCAGGTGCCAGCAGGCCCTCCTGCTGTGGCTACTCCAGAGTGCACTGCTGTCCCGTCCCCTCCCCCACCCCATGTCTGGCACAGGGCTTGGCACTCCATGCTGTGCCTGTTTCCCACCCTGTGTCTTAGAAGCCGAAGGTGCTTTCATCAGAACCTTAAAATGGCTGTTGACCCCGACTGCAGCCCGGCAGGGGCTGGAGAAGCAGGGGAGGGCAGTGGTCCTTCCAAATAGAAGTCCTGGGGCCTGGCCAGGACAGGGTTTGTGCCTAATGTTTTTGACTAAATTACTCCCCTCCTCCTGCTCTCTGAGAAAGGGGAGCCAGAGCCACTCACTGTGGATCAGTTCCGACCTTGAAGGGGCGGTATTGGCCTGGCTTCTGGGATGGACAGAGTCCACCAGGAAAGACTGGGGGCGGGAGGAGATGGGGAGGGGCCCTGTCTGTGGAAGGTAGGATTAGATCATTAGCTCAGTGACCTCCTAGGGTTTCGGTGTGCTGTGTTCTCATCCTACAGCTGGTTTGGTAATGATCTGCAAGTCCCGGAGAGCAACAGCACAGCTCTGCCTGACGCTCTCATTAAAATCCATGCAGCCAAGCTCTGCACTGCTTTGTAGCAGCCGGCCTTGTGGAGCCTCCTCAGCTTGGGGGGCTGGGGACCCAGTTAGCTGAGAGGTCCTCTATGCTCTATTTAGACGTATGTGTACAGAAAAATTAAAACATGCTTCTTTAAACCCAGAGCCCTTTAAAATAAGAAAGGACCCAGTGCAGATAGGTGTGTTTATAGAATCCTGTAATTGTAGAATACAAAGTTTAGTGATTATTTAAACTGGGCTAAGGCTGGTAAGAGTATAAAGCAGTGTCCCATAAGGACTCTTAAGTGCAGAAGCCAAGGAGCCACCTCCCTTCCTGGTCTGCCTGGCCCAGGGGGCCTGCCCCCATTCCTGTGGCCCAGGGGCCCAGCTTGCAGTCGGTAGTGTCAGAAGTGACTTGTGGCTTTGCCTTGGTCGTGAGATGATTTCATTCCAAGGGTGGGGGTAGGGGGGGATCCCTTGGAGGCTCAAAGCAGCTGGCCCAAGCTCCAGCTCTCCTCCAGTGGAAGCTCGAGCGCCCTCAGAAACGACCCTGGCCAATGTCACGGCAGAGCTGAGGCAGTGTTGTCAGGGCTAATGTGAAATCTCTTCCCGTGGCGCCGATCCTCCGACTCCACAGCGCCAGCTTGGACAGATTGAGGTCTCTGTGGCTTTGGTGACCCTGCTTAAGCATTCCCACCGTGTCCCTGCTCTGCACTAGGGCTGCCGCTGCTGCAGCCCCTTACTTGACCTCAGGGCCTGGGGAGGGAGGCAGTGTACCAGGGCCAGGAGCTCCGATTCAGGAGATATGTCAGCCTTCTTGGGGGGCATCAAGCTTTGAACTTGGCTGGTGCCCATCCGACCTGGGACCAGGTGTTGCAGAGAGAAGCATCTCCTGCGCTTCCTGCCACATGGGCTTTAATAGTGAAGGCCGGGAGCAATTCTGTTACCGTATTAACTTTATTCAGTTAATTCATTTGAGAAACTAACCAAGTTTTACTTTCTGCCTAGAATATTGTACACATAGGAGAGACAGCTATCATGTTCCCAAAGTGCCTTGTTTTCTCTGATATAAATATATTTATAAGGACATATTCCAGTAGGTTCTTGGGTGTGTTTCCCACATCAAGATTTTGTGAGCTAATATATAGTGGGGTTACTGTCTAAAAATAGACCCCTTTCTCCTAAAGGTTGGGAAGGGGCATCTGAGTAGTGAAATGAAGCCACCCTCACAGTGACCCTTTTTTCTGCCCCTTCCATTCCAGTAAAAACACCCACAGGCTGGGTGGTATTGTCTACTCTCCTTTAATCCCAGCCCCTGGGAAGCCGAGGCAGGCGGGTCTGTGAGTTCGAGGCCAGCCTGGCCTACAAAGCAAGTTCCAGGACAGCCAGGACAGGGAAACCCTGTCTCCTTACATATAAAAATAACACACACACACCGTTTTTTTTTTTTTTTTTTTTTTTTTTTTTTTTTTTTTTTTTTTT